TTGTACTTAGAGTAATTACTGAGACAAGTGAGCTAGTTAAAGTTTTAGCTTTAACGATTCATACTATATGTACAGTTTACAATTGTTTAATAAAGCATACATAACTAGCCTGACAGAGGGTTAAAAAAATAACAAATAAAAAATAAAAATTCTGAGTAATTTTTCTTCTTTATATTTTCATTCTATTAATTTAATCATTGTAATTAATCTTTTATAAATCTCATTTAACAAATTTCATCTTAAAATTCAGTATATTAATATTTGATAAATCTTGACAAAATTCATTAAAATTTAGCAATCTATATCTAAAAAATATTTTTATAGAATAATAGTTATATATATTATAAAAAAATTTTGTTATAATCAGTAATAAAGTTCAAAAATCCTTTATTACTATTTATTTTTCTCAGAATTCATCCAATATTTAATGGCATGAAACATTTTTATTTTTGATTATTTCATCTAATGTATTATTTATTAGTATTCCTTCTTAAATCAATATTTATTTAACAAGCTATTTATCAATACTTAAGAAAAAACAGTGCTTAGAATTAATAACTAAATATCAAATTGAATTAAAATAAAGTAGACAAAGAAATTCAGATTATCTGATATGATTCTTATTAATAAAACATTTTTGTGTATTACAATACCTCTATTTAATAGAATTTTATTTATATATTGTCAAATTTCTCAGTATAAATCATTTATTTATATCTTTCATACTATCAAGATTGTAATAATTATTTTTATAATTGACATTCTTCTTGCAATAATAGTATGACACTAGTACCAAAATGTATTTACATACTTTTTGTGCTACAGGAATATTGCATAAAATTAAAGTTAAGGCTACCTGAATTATTTTTTTCTCTTAATTTTTGACAGTTGAATCGAGCTTTATTCTTTACTATAGTTGTATCAATTTGGCAACAATTAGAAAAAAGCAATGATTTATTTGATGTAAACTTGGTTCACTAGAATCTAATAATATGCTAAGAATTAATATATTTTTATATCTTAAATTATATTTCACATGGCAAATTTGTAATAGCTACATATATAACTCTAGTATTATATTTTTTATTATTAAATAATTAAAACCAGTTGATATTTAGTATCAATCCCAAATATGAATCAGCTGTCTCTTTGCTAAAAAATAATTATAAATTTTCATCTTTAAAAGTTTTTCAAATATTACTATCATAGATATCATATAAAAGTTCATTAATGCTTGATTGATCTATCCAATACTGAAGATTAAATTCAAAATTCAGATTTTGATATATATATAACAATTGATATCAAATAACAATATAGTAAAACTAAATTGGACTAATTAATTTTTTTTTTTTTTTTTTTAATACCCATGGTCAGACCAGTACTGTGTGTTTATTAATAATTAAGAAAACTGATCGAGATACATAGGACAATTGCATCATAGCTAAACTAAAATCTTGTACTGACACACTTGTCAATGGCTTTTAATTCTCAAAAGAGCTTCAGCCTCTAAGTGCAACCTTGGAAACAATATTTCACTCTGAACTAAGTTTTAGGTGAAGACCCTCCTAACTTACTCATTATTTTTAGCAGGTTGTTACTGCTTATTATTCTTCAAGGAACTGAATTTGAGAAACTACAAAAGGGGAAAGGAAAAATAAAAAAAAAGGGGAATATCTAAAAATGTGCAAATGAACTATATGAAAATGAAAAAAGAAAAAAAAAAATTTAAAATTGCTCCATGTTCTCCAAAGGACCTCGGCTAGAAACCTCTTCTCATTAGGAATCAACCCTTCTGGGATATTCTTCTTCTTCCTGACCATCTGAAGAACTTATCCATCCATGCTCTTGATTATTTTCTTGTGACCGTCTGAGGTACTTATCACCTACTCGGATCCAGTGTTTTGCTCAATGCTTTCTTTCTTTCAGTCTTGATTTTTTATCTACCTGCACAACACAGAATGGCTAATGGTGGACCTCAGGTTCTTATGTGGCTTTTCAGTCTTGTTGTGTAACTCCCGATATCTTCTAGCAGCCACACCTAGTTAAAGGAATTTTACTGGTGTATATCTTCCATTATCCAAAAAACCAGATTCCTCAACAATCTTTTTGTCTTGTAATAATGAGAGGGTCTACAAAGTATGGGATTCTCGTCGATTATGATATCATTACACAACATCTGAGAAAATACATTCTCAATCCTAAAGAAGGGTAGTATTTTACATTCCTCTGTTTTTCGGTCTTACAGCCTGACTGGGATAAGGAAATAACCTCCTTCGTGTACTTTGCCTGACTGGAATGATAAGAAGTTGAAGGTCTTGGCTTGAACAAATAACCACCTTTTCACCATCTAGAGAATTTAGTGTTCATCCTAATGGCCTCATGATTTCATTGCTTCAGTTAAACTTCATTTGAAGAAGTGGAGAAGTTCGTATCCTTGATTTCTCTTTCTATCACCAATGACATCATCAGAACACATGAGGTGACCAATAGGAGCTTGTTTATATTCAGCTACTAACGTGTTTTGTATTAACTAATCAGATGCCAGGTGATATTGTGTTACCAAAAATTCAGGGTCAAACTGAGGTAGGCAAAATCCCTCAAGAAAACCATGAAAATCAGTAAGCACTTTAAGAGGGTATAATACAGTATGTGAGAAGATGGAAAATAAGCCTTCCCTGCCAACAGAACTTCTATTTCTTGTCGCTTCTAGCTCTGTGAGGTGACACTCCACTTGTCAGTCTTTTTACTTCCTAGAATCTTCTTGTCCTTAGTAGAGGAAATGCGTACTTGCATCTTTTTAGGCCACTAGAGACTCAAGTTTTTATTCAAAGGAGTTTATAAACAAGTAAGAGAGGGTAAAAGAGATATACGAAGACAAGCTTCAAGTTGGTTTAATGAAAGTATAAAGACTTTATTAGCAAGGAAGTATAAAACTTCTTGTGAACATCTTTTTTGTGTGTGGTCAGAGGATCAATGAAAAGAATTTAAAAAAAAAATTTGGTTTCTTTAAATATAAATAATTAAATTAATATAGAAAAAATAAAAAAGTGAATACTCTAGTTAAAAAAATCTTAAAGCTTCTAAAAACACTTTTTACTGATTTTCTAATCATATATAAAAAAGATGTTTGTAAGAAGTTCTTTTACTTCTTTATTAAAAAAGTCTTAATACTTTCTTTAAAACTTCTTGAAAAGTGACTTCAAGAATCACTTCTACTTTCTCTTACTTGTTTACAATTCTTTTTAATCAAAAACTTGACTTTGGATGACTAGAAACAAGTTAAATAACATCTTTGATACCAATAGTAAGAAAGTTCTCAAAGAAAAAAGAATCAATATCTAAACACGGTCAATGCCTTTCAACAAATGCCATCAAAGCCATATCTGGAGTACACCATTTAAAAATATTAAAAATTCTGGGACATGGTGTCCACATTGTGCAGGCATGCCATTTCAAACTAAATATTCTATAAATAATGCATATATGATTGCTAAAAATCGAGGTGGACAGTGTCTTTCTAATAGTTTTATTGATTCAATGATGCCATTGCAATGGAGGTGTGCTAAAAACCACAAATGGATAACTAGATTTTCTCATATTAAAGATGGCCATTGGTGTCCGTATTGTGCAGGAAATGGACGTTGTACAATTGAAGATGCTAGACAAATGGCTCGTAATAAAAATAGAGAATGTCTCTCTAGTAAATACATTAATAATAGTACTAAGTTACAATGGCGCTGTGTTAAAGGTCATGAATGGGTTGCTTCATTTTCTCAAATTAAAAGTAATGGATCATGGTGTCCTGAATGTTCTCATAGAAAACCTTACACTCTTGAATATATTAAGCAGTATGCATATAATAAGAATGGTAAATGCCTTTCCGAAAAATATATTAATTCTGATACTCCATTACTGTGGCGATGCATTAAAGGCCATGAATGGACTGCTCGATTTAATAATATAAAAAATGGTTTTACATGGTGTCCATATTGTTCCAAATACAAACGTGAAGAATTGTGCCGTGAAATTGTATCAAAATATCTTGGTCCACCATCTGAAAATCGCAAACCAGATTTTTTAAAAACACCAGAGAATAAATTGGGATTGCAACTTGATATTCCCTATTATGATTATGGTTTTGCTATAGAAGTACAAGGGCAACAGCATGAAAAATATCACGAATTCTTTCATAGAGGAGATCCCAATAATTTCATCAAACAGCAAGCACGGGATCAACTCAAGAAAGAATTATGCGAAGAAAACTGGATCGTTTTAAGGTATGTCTGGTATTACGAAGACCCATATATAGTTATTCCAGAACATCTTCGAGAATTGGGCCTCATTGAGTAGACTTAAAACTTCAAATGCAGAAAAATCACGTTCTATTATTGAAATGTATACGTGTCAAAGATAAACACTTTATTAAAGAATATCGTATTACATTACAAGACTGGCTTGTCACAAAAGTTAAATCACGGAATGATTCGACTTTATTTTTTTTCGCCTTGAATTATTTTCCTTCGAATTACTCCTTTTTTTCTTTTTTTTCTTTGTAGTGTTTTCGCAATCAGCAAAAAAATGAATTGGCACGGGTGGTGGAGTAGAGCATTGTTCATTGTCATCTTTAAGCAATTCTTCCAACAGGTCGCCAGATTCAGTGTCAGTATCGTCATTTAGAATATTCAGAATTTGTAGGTTGTTCCTAATAATGATCTGTGAAAATAATTAGAACACAGAAGAAAAAATAAAATGATAACTACAATATAAGATTTTTCATACCTTATATTGGTATATCTTTTTTAGAAATTTAATGAAGGAACTTAATCCATTTTTCGAGAACTTGTTATCTATATAGAAAGGTTGGAGATCTTTACGAAAAATGCAGATCGATCCACCAGCGCGCCATAATCTCGCGAACTGAATATATAACCCAAGGTGTAAGATGCCAAATACTTGAAGTTTATCTGCTTTTTGATCGTCATAATTCACAGCCTTGATTAAATCAGAATACATATCTCGAAGTGTTTTGGGCATCTTGAATGACTCGAGAGATATTTGTTATCTGAAACTCCCGCAAAAGCCCTTGCACCTTCAATGGCACCAATTTCAACAAGTCTATTAGTTATATATATTATTCCATCGATTTTGCGACCAATGAGTTTTCTTGCGTTTGCTTTCCGACGCCGATTCTTTCTGTTGGCACTACTCAATGATGGTGCATCGGTCCTATAAAAGTGATAAACAAGTGAGATGATGATAATTGATTGTTTACATTAGTGGAAATAGATAAAACCTCTTAATGTCGGTTCCCAATTGCGCGTCCCTGACACAGAAATCAATACATGTTCCAAAAAGCGCGACCGTGAACCAATCTTCATATTGGGTCCTTACTAAGGGGGTATCTATATTTTCGAACAGATTACAAAGTGTTCGCATGGTCATTTGAATCCATTCTCGATTATAATGCTTTTGAACATCATATTCTTCGTCATCCTTAAGGTATGTTTTCATCACTTTCGTACGTAACTCTTTTAATGTTTTACTTCCGTACTTCGATAGCTCTTCTGCAATATCACGTGGAACAGAAGGAACCCCATTTCGATCTTTAATTAGTTCGCTCCACTCCTTATCGGTGAATAACGCTCTGACAATCTCGTCATCAAAGTCCACAATATAAGAATGGGCATGGCTAATCATTGTCAGTATTGTGAATGATAATAAACAAGGTATAAATTTTGAGAAACTTACTGTTCATAGTCCATGTCTTCAGCAAATTCAAAAAGGATGTCTTCCACTATCCTGCCTGTGCTCAACTGCAACTTTGTAGAGTTTGGAATAGCATAATAGGTCTTACAAAAAGCCGTCTTGTCAATTTTTGGGAGATCCTTCCCATTTATATTGTCCTCAGATGCATCGGTGTCAGAAGCCGATTCGTCAGTGTCGCTTGTATTACAAAGGAAATAAAATTATAGTCTAAGAAGAATTGAAGAATATCATTCAAAGGATAATCATATATACCTTGGCATATAATTCGAATCGTCATCGTCAGATACGGAAGGAGAGTTCTGCGATTCATATTCGACCTAGAAAGGAATCACATCAATTAGAAACTGGCAATGAATATTATCAATTCACTTATTGCGAAGGTCATACTTTAACCTCTTCATTGAATGTTTTTTTGGAGTCGTCACTTATTATTCCTGAGTCGTCACTTAATTCCCGAAGTTTCTCAATAAAATTTGTTACCTTTACGCCAGAGGGATCTTTGAAGAAGGCGCTGATATTGTCAACTGGATCCTGTAGAAATATAATCAATATCAGGAATATGGCACAAAAATATTAGCAATAACGTTTAATATCTTTACTCATACCTGTGCCTTTTTCTGATCCTTTTCTGATGATCCGGAAATGAAAGTTTCAGAGTTTATAATCCCACTAACAGTCCCTCCTCCTATAAACGTTGGATGGTGGACGTGAACTGAAGGTTCGGCTGATTTATTCTTATAAGAACGTTCTTTATCCCAACTTCTTGCTAATTGACGATCTGGCCGAGTACCCTTATGAAAAAATTTTCAGAAAATTAATAATGTTCTCTAATAACATGTCCTATCTATTTTTTCTTCCTGCCAGGTCGGCTCGAAGCCTTGAACGTAAGACGACCTCGTAAGTCGTATACGCCCCAGCAGGGCCAGTGTCAGATCGGCTCGTAACCTTGAACGTAAGACGACCTCGTAAGTCATATACGCTCCAACACTGGCTTCGTGACTCGGCTCGGAACCTTGAACGTCAGAGGATCTCGTAAATCCTAGACGCGTCACCTATTCTCTATCTACATTTTCAAAAAAAAGATATACTCGCCTTCGTATACCTGTCGAGTAGTTCCTGTGCTTTTTCACGCCTGCGATCAGTCTCGCGATTAGCAATGGTCTTAAGACACCTAACATAACAATCTGTCTTCTGTCCGAGTGGTTCTAAATCACACTTATCCAAAAAATTGCGAATATTCCATTGGGAATGTGCGGTATCGAAATACTCATATGTATTTTATTTGACATAGTCTTTCGCGCAAATAGAACGTATTTTTCTGAATTTATTTCAAGAGCAGTAATCATGTGAGAGGACACAAACATGTTGGAAAGTGCAGATCAAAGCTTTGTGTGTAACTAACCGTAAATCTATTTTTTTCCGCTATATATAGAAAACTTCCCACTCACACATGTCTCTGTAATAAAGAACCAGCACAAATAAATCATAAAGTGGCATAAGTAGAAAGAACTTATCGTTCCATATCGGCGTTGTTACTAGAAATAATAACTTTTGGGTTTTGCAATCACCGCAATCTCCGAGATTATCATGTCCCTTATCAACTTGCATAATCTATATACTATAAAAAGCCACTGATTCACTTACGAAAAATTTTTTCATTTCTTCCCAACATTATCGAGCAGTGCATAAACCAGATTTTTTACGCCATATACCAATATAAAAAATATGTCCTCAACAAGCGCATCTTCACCTTCGCCTTCCTCGCCTTCAAGCATATACTCCGACGAAGAAATAATAACTCGCACGATGGGAGATGTAATAAAGGATTATGATACGGAGGAATTAATCGAGTATTTGCGGAGAAAGGATTTGAAACTTAAAGAGTCCCATTTTGAGATATTACGAGATGAGGAAGTTACTGGGTTTTCTTTTCTTGAGTTGACTAAAGAGGATTTCATAAGTTATGGATTCAAGGGAGGGCCCGCAGTAACATTAATAAAATTTATTTCGGATCTCAAAGAGCAAAAATTGCGTTCTTTTTCGTCTTACAAGACCGTAGAAGAGTTAAAAGACCTACTCCGCGAATATAAAGTTAATGGTGACAATATTACGAGTATAAAACATTTATCTGGTGCTCGCTATTACTCCTATGATCGCTGTTAATTTCAATACGATCAGTGACTATCACTGGGATGAACACGACGAGCCAGATTCCTTATGTTGCTTGGTCGCATTGGGTGATTTTGACGGAGGTGAACTGTGCTTCCCCCAACTCCAGATTATTGTTCCACTTCGACCAGGACAAATGGTTGCATTTTCATCGCGTTTCTTATTGCATGGTAATTTTCCAGTAACCCGAGGGATCCGGCACAGCATTGTTTACTTTATTCATGGAACGTTTTTCCATCATCAGCGCGATCCAACACCCATTCATAGTGATCTTACGGCTACTTACCAAGACTTGAATAATGCTCAAGATTTGAACTTCCGGATCCGACTTACCAAACCAAAAAAAAGTCAAACCGAGATACCTAATAAGGCTAGTGATAAGAGGCGAGGAAGAATCGGTAAATTTTATTTTTAATAGATTTGACGCGTGCCCGACGAGGATTGAAGGCTGAAGATCCGTTATCCGATTCTGAATAGTACACTAAAGTAAAAATTGTTATGTGGATAGTCTAGAATTATTATCTCGTAGTTATATAATAAATTTTAATCATGAGTTGTATATGTAAAATATCTGGATTAATAAAGATTTTCGCATGTACTGTAAATATATCAATCATAATTATTTTTTTTCTTGGCAAAAGCGAACGGCGTGACTTTTTTAACTTTTTGGTCACGCACTCGTTAATTTATTTATTTATTCAAACTTTTGAACATATCCGCATCTTGTATAAAAATGGCAAACACACAATCCAAAGTCGATACATTAGAAGAACAGAATTCCAAACTTATAGCTGAGATTGCTGAGCTTAGAAAGGAGAATGCGAAGCTGAAGCAGATTATCGAGGAGAATGAAAAGCGCAATGTTAGAGTCGAGGAATTAGAGCAAAAGAATATAGAGCTTGAGACTAGGCTCGCTATATTAGAACAGAGAAAAGAAGAAAAAGGTATTTCTACGGAAGATGTTTCGCACCCTCCAGTAAAATCTAACGATACTCTCAAACAGATAGTGCTACAATATGGTGATACCCCGGTATCTGATATAACTGATGGCACTTTAAATTTTGATGACACTTCTGAACAGGTGGTCTTGCAAAATAAGGATGCTCCGGCATCTGATGTATCCAATAATGTTTCAAATTCTGACGAATATCAGTCTCGAGTCTCCGATTCATCTTTGACTATACCACCTATATGTGTATCATCTGGAGATAAAAGGATTGATAATTTTCTGAATGAAAAACGTAATGAACAGATTCGTAACGAAATAAGAGAAAGGAATCGGGAAAAGAAGCTATTACAGAGTAATGAAGCTTCCGCTTCTCAAGCCCAAAACTCATATTCAGATAGCTCGCCAAAATCTCACGATGAATTACACGTCAAAAAAAATTTCGGAATCGCAATATATTCCTAATACTCCTAATTTACCTGAAGAATCCTCAGAACAAAATACAGACTTACAGAAAACAAAAATCCCTGAAATAGACGTACAGCCTTTGATAGAAGAATTAAGAATAGAACCTTTAGTGGAAGATACCGTTAAAGTTGTTAA